TAGCATGTACTTATAAGTATAGGCAACCGTGTCAGTATTTTGATCAGTATTGCAGGTTACATACCTACTACTTTATTAGAAAACAAATATACAGTACGTGAAAACAAGTCGTATGTATGCGTAATTGTTTAAAAGAGTAATATTCAAAAGCTACTATATTTAGTACTAGTATTTTATTACTCCAAAATATTTGGCGAGAGAGGTGGTTTTATCATTATATAAACTTTTCGTTAGATATTGATGATAAACATTCATATTATTTTATTTTTTGTTTGGTAACGCATTTTTCGTAGCATTATTTTAATCATTTCTAAATTTAACTGGTAACGTAAATATTTGCTCCATTTGAGAATTGCCCTCAAGAGAGTAGTTAATAACTTTACTCTATACAGGACGATCTATAAAAAGAAAATTGCTCTGCTTTATTGAGGATGTGGGAATCAAATTAACTGATTAATTATAGCGTTTGTTTATTTCGATGATATAAAATTTTGAGGAATTTCGCGGAAACGTTTAAAAATTCAATTTTTTGTTCAGAAAAAGGCTTTTTATGAGCTTGCAATCGTTTTACTTAAAAAATTGCGTATTTCTCAACAGGTGCTTATCACAGGTGTCTGTTATTCAAAGTTAAATTTCGTCTAAAAAGGGACGATTACATTACAACACGAAAGACGTAGTGTCAGTAGCAAGTCTTGTTGATGACCTATATCCTATAAAAAAAAAAGACGTTTCTTACGCAAAGAAATTGTAAAAGAAAGGAAACAGATTTAAATTTGTTTGCGCAATCGAGTTTTGTTTAGTTTATTTTAAAAATTGATTTTCTAAAATATTAGAAATTGATCCCTAAAAGCTTAAAATAAGTGCTTCGTTATTTTAGAATACTTATTGACGTCATTGGCTGAACCTGTTTTTGATTAAAAAAAAAATCACTTATTGATGCATTTTCTAGTCCTAAAGAGAATGTTTTGTTGATGCATTAATTACTATGTATCAAAAGCAGAATGTTTTCTTTAACTTGAAATAAAAATATGAACTAATTAGAATCTTTCAAAAGAAATTAATCTAAGCAAACGTTTAAAGTTAAACCTGGTTTCATTTACTAAATTAAAGAAGTAGTTAAGAAGTAAAAGGTTTCGTTAACTTACTAGTTTTTGAAAAGCTAATTCGAAAGTTAAAACAGCCCCTGATGTAATTTGTATTTGTAGCATCGAGATGATCTTAAAAAAGAAAAAGGAAAACAAATATTAATTGCATATGTCACGTTTATTTTATCGCAATTCCTTCGTTATTTTTCTCTTTGACGAGACATTTTTATATTTAATTAAGAAGTTCTGTAATATGATCTTATTAGGGCAAGGTCGAAGAAAACACGTTGTTAATTATGTTATGGTAGAACTTGCAGGTTTTGTGTCGCTTTTTGGTTACGAAGTATTTACTGGGGTGAGCAATAAAGAGGATTGGGTAACAACTTGAGCAAAATATCATTTTAACTTGTTACTTTCATGTTATTTCTATATATTATGCAAGAAACTTTTATTATTAAAACAATACACGAATTAACCTGGACCTTATACAATTGTCATCGTCAGAGAGAAAATTCAGAGCAAGATAAAATATCAAATATCACTTTGTGTTGTGGTTAATTTTCTTTTGAATTTTTGCGAAAACAATGATAAATCTTGTGTTAACGGAAATATCTGTTTTTTATCAAAAAAGTTAAGCCTGTCCATTATTCTTCAAATCTGTTTACCGCCATTTCGATTAAACTTTAAAATTAAAATGTGTTTTTCTTGAATGTTTCTTTTTTAAAGTTATTTTTTTTTATTTAGCTTGTTAAAATTTTAAAATACAATTTTGTTTTTATATTTATTGGAGTTGGGATAAAATCTTAATTTGTGATACGTACCTATTATAGATTGTAATACTCTTTCAAATATTGCTTTATCTCTTGACCCTGTTTGGTTTTTAGAGTTCAGAAAGTATGTTGTGACGTATTTAAGTACAGACGGAATCTTTATTTGCATTGTAACCCATAAATTTTACAGTCGCTATAAAAAAACAAAAGGACACATTTGCAAATTCAGATAAAGATGCGATATCATCCATCTGCGTTTAATGCCGTGAATCAGAAACGAAATATTTTAGAATGCACTAAATACTATCGATTTATTTAGTAGTACATCCCAATAGGATAATTTTTTAATCCTTGAGGAATTAAAATAGAAATACCACATGAAAAAAAAAAAATAAA